TTCGATAAACAGATTCTAAAAAACAAAGCAAAACAAAAAAAAAAGAACAAAGATGATTTTATCAAAAGAAGAAAAAATAAATAAACCTGATAATAAATCATAAATTTGTGGTTCAAAAAATGATGGTAAATTTAAATAATTTCGTTCTTTTTCTAATTGTTCAAGAATATTTTGTAAAATTATTTTTGATTCATAATAATTTGTTCGTGTTAATTCAACGCGTGCTAATTCTAATGAATAATAAAGAACTTTTTCAATATTTGATGATTGATCCCATAATTTTATTAATAAACGATAGATTTCAACAAGTAAATAATTACAACGACAATTACGTTGATTATATCTTAAATAGGAATAGTTTGTTTGTTTTTTTTTTTTATTGTATTTAAAAATAATTTTATTTTCTTTTTACTCAATTTCAGTTGTTTGATGAATTTTTTGTGGAATTTTATTTGAAAATAATTGTGTATTAATTGTATTTGTATTATTAATTTGTTTAATTTGTGTCTCAGTATTATTTAAAATAAATTCATCATGATTTAATGGATGAAATTGTTGTCGTATATATAAATCAGGAGCAAAATCAAGAAATTCAAAACGATGATCAATACCTTCTTTTAATAAAAATAATGGACATGTTTCAGTAAAATTTATATATAAACGTTCATTAATAGATAAGATATCTTCATTAATGAAAATTTTTTTTGAAGATTTTTCGTTACTTTCATTATCATGAGATATTATAGATTGTCTTAGAACTGTTGATGTTGAATCATAATCGGTTTGATGTGAGAGATGTAAATGTTTTATAAGATGTTCAGCTTCTGATAATATTTTAGAAAGGAAACAAAAAAAGAAATTCATCAGAAATAAAATAGTTTGAAGAAGTAATAATTAAAACAATTTTTATTTCAATATTTTAGATTTATACAAAAAAAAAATATAGATGAAAAAAATGTCTATGATTGAGAGAGAGAAGTAGAGAATAGAGTATCTATTCTTCGTTTTCTTTACATGGATTGTGACGCATTCATATTTATGATACATACATAGTAATTCATAAACTCAACGACATGTACAGTAGTGAATAAAAGTCTCTGTCTTAGAGAATCTCCATCATTATAAATGTCAGAACCTTGAAAATTTTTCTGCAAATACTTATTAAGAGTATAGGTCAAAGATACAATCTACTTCGATGGATTAAGTACCAAGAGAATTGCGATGGATGATAACTTTTGTTTTTTTTTGCACTAAGCTTCGTAACCTAAAAAGGATTGTCTATTCAATTTTACACTACTTTCCTACCAAATATATGATTAATTCTTGACGTTTTCGAGTGGAACTACAATTTAGTCCATGGTCGGTTGTTTTTTTGAGTCAAAAGATGAATTCATTTATTTGCATATTGACTTCTGATTGTTTCTGAAGCCTTGCACTAATATCCACCTGTAGAGGTAGCTTTTTCTAAGAGTTTGAGCTTCATGCACTAAATTACTACTGCATTCTCATCTCAAAAGGATACCAGATGATTTTTCTTCACATCAACAATCATAGTAAAATGATTACAGTACTAGAGAGAATTGATGAACTTCAATGAAATTATTGTTACATGTGTAGCTGAGATACAACGCAACATAATGAGCTGTTAGCTAATCTAGAAAGCTCATCTTTTCCAAAGTTATGAAGTTCAAAGGCGACATAGGTGTTATCCATTGTTGTCTAGCATTATTCTCTTTCTACTTAAGCAATGAAAGCAAACTTTGTGTCTCACTTCAATATTCAAGATGTTTCAGTAAATCCGTGTAGTCTCATTAATGATAAAAAATATTTTAAGTTCAGCACGATCATTTTTACATTTTAAGTATTTAACAGATTCTGAAAACAGTGTTGAGATTATTCATAAAGAACGTTCAAAATAATGAAATAAAGTTTTTTTTTTGTTTTTCATAACTGTAAAATATTTAATCATATGTACTATCTTTACAAGCAAAAAACTCACCAGACATAATATCTTTTGTGAATAATCGTTTATTTTTTCCATAAGGTAAATGTTGTAAAATATTTTGATTAACATCAACACGTGATCTAGATTGTTTATTAGAGAAATGTTCTTGTTGATGAATAATTTCTTTTCTTTCATCGATTGCATTATTCATTAAAGGAATTTCTATTGTTTCTATAAGAAATTTTTATTCAATCAAACTAGATGGTATCAATTTTTTGTACCTGAATGAGGAAAAATTTTTTGAGATAAATCATAATTAGAAGATGAATTTTTTATATGAATATATTTATTTTGATCCAAGGAATGATGGTTTGTATGAGTGTGTAGAGTAATTTTATTCACATCATGAACATTATGAGATGAATTTAGTTCTAGTTCACATCTGAATAATTTATATATCATTTAAAAAATTCTCATAATATGTTTACTTTAATGGTTCTATCGTTTGATTTAATCCATAAATAGTAGTTAAATGATTTGATATTTGCGTTTCAGAAGTCTGTTGAACTTGATTATTTAATTGTTTATTTGATTGACAAAATGTATGAATGCTATCAATTGAATATGAATAATTTTCATCTGCTATACTCAATGAAGAACAAGTCGATTTTTCAGTATTAAGTTTTAGTAATAAAATTTTTTTCTCGAATTTTTTATTTTCAAATGCTTGTGCCCATTGACGATTAAGAATTTGTTCAATAGTAATTTTAGAAACTTGTTCAATGATCATATGATTATTATTTTGATTCAAATTTTGTGATTGATTAAAAATTTTAACATAATTTAAAGATCTTTTTCGTCGAAATTTAAATAACCGCCTTGTAAATAATCTAAATCGATTAATAATTAATCGATTTTTTGTTTGTTTATTAATATCTAAATTTGATTCATAATAATGATTATTTTTTGAAGATATTTTTCCAAATTTTTTTGATAAATTATTTTTTTTATCATTTATTGAAATATTTTGTGTTGTTTCAATACTTGATTGTATTGGATAAATTGTTCTTATTGGACTATCAGAATGAGTAAGACGATTTTCTTGTAAATGAAAAGGAATTTTTGCATATGTTTCACCTTCTATTGTATCTTTACGTCCTCCGATAGCTATTTATTTAAATAAAAAAGAAGAACAAAAATAAGAAAATTCAATTATTATTTATTTCAAAATATAATGCACTTGAATACTGTTGGAATAACTATCGAACAAATTGATCAACAATAGTTACTTCATACAAAGAGTACTCGATCTTATTATTTGTGTAAAACTTATTGCAACAATAAAATGTTACTTGAACTGAAGGACTAGTATTAAATCATAAACGATGAAGCTACAAGGCTTCAGTAGGTTCAAGCCTATTCTAGAATTTACGTTTCGTTGGCTAGGATAGAATTGGACACATTTTTCTCCTTCCTATTAGGTTGATAGATTTGAGCAGCGCATCGAAATTCTGGTGCAAATGTTAATAGTTGTCGCCACTTTTGACGGCTACGAACAAAATTTTTTTAGTCAAACAGACTGAGAAAACATGGATTTTTGTATCAGTAAGTATCGAATGACATATCGGCAATGACTTGTGGCGAGGGTTCTTCACAACAAATGAAGAAGAACTGTAACAAAACTCTAAGCCAGATTAACTAGAATCTATCAAAATTTTTCTTCACTTTCGGAGACTAAGATCGCATGCATAAAACGTTCGCATGTTTTCTTACGCAAGTTGTGAATTTTTTTCTGATTTTCATCACGTATACACTATAAAATGTGTGTTCGAAAAAAGAAGCGCTAACTGTACCTTATCTAAATGGCACACAAAAACTAATTCTCTCTCATTTTTAATTTTCAGATGCGAATCTTATAAAAAAATATTGAGCCTATCCTAGAATTAAAACATTCCGCTACTTATGCATTATCATCATTCTCAATAATCATATTTATTCAGCTGCTTCAATCGTGCCTATTTAACACATAACACAAGGTTATTTAAGCGTGTGAGAGAAGAGCAAGGATAATAGATGAAAGAAAAAAAGGATATTAGCAAGCGAGATTTAACCATATTGAAATATCTGTTTTTTATAAAGTTTTGAGCGTGTCAGCATGAGATCCGAAATTAATTAAATAACGATTTTTGTTATCAATTTTGAAATTATTTAAAATTGTAAAGTAAAAATTTTCCTTATTTCTACTTTCTGCAATTTCTGATCTATAATACATCCATATACTAAGCATTGACATATTGATTTAATAATTTCAAGTCGATTCAGAAATAGAAGACAAACAATGCGATTCAATTGACTATAAAAACACAATTGGAAATAAATAATTGAAGTTTGCATGAGTTATTCCAAGATTTTTAGAAAATACCTCAGCAAAATGGACTGAAATAGTAGTATCCACATGGCAAAATTGATTGGATGTGAAACGAATATTTAAAAAAAAAGTTTGCAAATATATTCTATTTTGAATTTGATAAAAATTTTAATAAATCTTTTAATTTACCCATAGGACTAAATGATGATAATGGTCTAGTATTTTTTGTAAGATTATCAACATGTTTCATTTTATGACGTAATTGTTGAAAATATTTTCTTTTTTCATTAAATTCTTGTTGATAAAATTTTTGATAAAAATTTTGAATTAAATTATTTTCTTTTCTATTATCATTATTAAATGAAGAATTTTTTTTAAGTTCAATTAAAGATAATTGTTTATCATCAATTTTTATATCATCATTATTTAATTTATTATAAGTTTGTTGTATTGATAAATGATTTAAAATCATATATTGTAAACGTTGATTTAATTGTTTTAATTTTCTTTCATGAAATGTATCTAATATAGACATACCTAATTTCATACTTTGTACAGGTGTTAAAAATATTAATGAATCGGAATCACCACCACATGATTTACATAAATGATTTTTTGATTCAATAAATAAAGCCATTTTTGATGAATAATCATGTTGAAATTGATCAATTATTGTTGCAAGTGTTGCTTCTTTTAATGTTGGATCTTTAAAAGTATACATACGACAATTTTCTATTTGTCTTGTTGTATTTTCTGAACAACAACATATAGGTGTCATACTTTAAAATGAATAATAAATAGAAGAAATTCTTTTATTTGCTTGAAAATTTTTACTTTTTTTCTTGTAATAATCTGGCAATATTGGAATTTTTTCTTGCTTCAAAATCAAGCCAAGCACATTCAAATATTTGTGCACGATATAATTGAGAAAAGGCACTGTTAATCTTTATACACAAAAACAAAAGTTTTATTGACGTAACTTATTGATATGAATTTGTCGAAAAAAAAAATCGATGCATGTTGAATTATTTGAAATATTTCTATTCTTCAGTCGAACGTAGCTCGGTTCCTCTCGAAAATATTATTTATAGTCTGTCAATACTTGCCATTGTAAGTTAACAGATGATGCATAAATTCTGTATTAATTTTGTTTTCCGTATAGCGTGACAACAACTTGTCGCGAAAACTCGATAGTTTTTTCTTATTGAAAAGAGTAAAGTCTCTATTACAAAGCTATGTAAAAATATTTTGTTTAAAACATTTACAGCAGACGTGAAAAGTCCTTGGCAAATTTACATAAAGTTAGTGACGCGGAGTGTATTTCATTAATTTCTCTTACACTCGACTTTCGAAATTTTTTGGATACGTTATGCAGTTTGAATCAAATCGATCCAATCTCTATGAAGTATATGATAGTTATTCTAATTTTATTTTCTAGTATTGAAATAAGCAAATATGTTAATGACTTTCGGGTCAAACCTTGTTATAATCCTAGAACATCTAATATTGATGAAATACTTGTAAAAATTGAATGTGTGACTATCATAGGTCGTTGCTTTCAAAATCTGCTATAATCTAAGTTAAACTTTCTCCTAATGAATGTATAATATCAAGGTATAACACAGTACAAGAATAAGAAAATATTGACTGATTTTCTTATCAATTATTCTAGATTTATTGAAAAGAACAATTTAACTAAACTAACTAGTGAACTAAAAAATTCCCACGATTAAAATCATGGATGTTTTTCTATGTATATATGACAACTGGAGTTGAAATATGAATTTGTCAAGACTTATTTTCGTATTATTATTATTATTATTCTAATTGAGATGTTCATTTACGAAAAATTTATAAGTTTTTGTTGCATTTTTAGACCACTCTTAGCTCTCCAATATTAAAGATCGTCATAAATGACTGCCTATGTTATTCAGCAAATAGCAACAAGATACTGTTTTCAAACATCGGTATCATCAACCATGCAATGATCCTGAACAAGGCATTAACTCGGTTTATCTCAGATCACTGATTTGATAGCATGCTGACTACATTGTAACATTCACCTGCTCTTGTGGTTAGTTAATTTGTATGGGAAGATCAAGCAATTGAGCGTAAGAGCTCTGCGTCAGGTCGACATTCTGTTCAGAACTATAACTAGTATTAGCTGTAGGAAGATATCGAACTATTAAATCTGCTACTAGGTGTCATCCCGTGCCACAAGGTATCCGAAAGGTAGGGATATTCTTTCTTTCTTCCTTCCTTCCTCCCATATTAATTTTCTACTTCCGAAAAAGAAAAAATCCATATAAAAAACTTCAAGAAAATTTTAAACAATTTTTATTAATTTCGTTTTTTACTTTCAATAAATCTGCATTCGATCCAGCTGTATAATTTTTATTATTATTTAAATGATGTTGGTGTACATTTAACATTTCATTTGTATGAATATCATAATTTGTTATTGCATGAACAATAATTCTAAATATTCAAAAAGTATTTCTCCTTCCACCTTTCGAAAAAAAAAAAAAACATTCAATAATAGAATTAAATGTAATACCTTTTGGAAATTTTTTTTGTAAATAATGAACTTATTTTAGCAATACGTTTTTCAAAATCTCTTAATTTATCAATTTTAACATGAGCATTTATATTTTCAATAACAGTTGTATATGTCCAAAATTTATTTCTATCTGGATCACATATTCGACATAATTGTGGTTCAACATATTCAAATAAAATTTTAATATTTCCTGTTGCTGAATCATGTTTAACAACACGTTTCCATAGATATTTTTGTATACCTTCAATATATCCATCATTTAAATTATCATCATTATTTATTGTTTCAATTCTTATTATTTGATTTGATAATAAATCTGATAATAATTGAATAACATTTTGTGGATGACCTCTTTTTATATTTAAAAATTTCATTAAAATAAAAATTTAATAGTAATATTTAATCAATACAAACTTATCTGATTTGCGTGTAATTAATATTTCAAGATCTTTTGGAATACGTTGTACAAACATAGCTTGACATGCAAGTGTAGATAAATAACGATTATCAAGACCTATGAAATCAAAAAAAACAATTACTCATCAATCTATTTTTTTTTTCTTAAATAATATTAATTGAAACCCATAAGTTGAATATGTTTTGTTGTTGGTAAATCTCGAAGTGTAATCATACGTGTATGAAGTTCATCATCATTTAATGTTGGATCTCTCATTGCCATTACAAGAAGAGAAGTTGGAGCTGAACCTATTTAACAAGTGTTTTTTTTTCTTGTTAAGAAAGCAATGAAAAAGAAAAATGAAAATTTTCTTTCAAACCAAGAAGATTAAGATATTGCCAAGATTCTTTATCAATATATTGAGCATCATCAATAATAAAAATTGTTGGTTGTGGTTGATAATTAAATATTTCATAAGTTGGATCTGTTGCATTAATAATAAGTTCACGAATAATTTCTTCAAGCATTTTTCTTTTTAAAATTCCTGTTAATTTATCAATATCAACACTAAGTTTATCAAAAAATGGTCGTAATAAATATAAATATTTTTCATGATCTAGAATATAATCAATTGAATTGATTATTTCTTTTTTTTTTTTCTCTTAATAAATAAAACTAACTTGGTAAAAGTGATTTTAATACTTTTACAAGTGTATCAGATTCTTGTAATTCAGTATATAATAATTTTTTAAATAATTGTTTAAGTGTATAACCAAATAATTGTACATGTTCAAAACTAGCATTATATGAAACTCGACGTATATTTTGTGTATCATACATTAATTCTTCATTAATATGTGCAAGTAAACGTGAACGACCAACACCTGTTGAACCAGTTAAAAATATACAATGAATTGTTGTACAAGAATGTTTCATAACTTCTTCAATATATTCTAATATTATATTCCATTCATCTTCACGATTTATTATTGGAAATACAAATACACTCATATTATTTTGATCTAGAATAAAAAAAAATCAAATAAGATCATCAGAAACAAATAAATTAATACCATCATCTTGTCCTTTATATCGACGCATACTTGTAGAAACAGTAAGACCTTTTAATGGTACTGTTGGTAAAAGTTCAAAATAACGTTCTTCAAGATGAGCTTTATGATAAGTTTCATCATCACATGAAACTATACCAGGATAATTAACCATTAAACGAGCAGCCTAAATCAATTTATCATCATATTAACTAATATTTTAATATAGTCAAACTAACCATATTAACTTTTCTACCAATGACTGTATATTCACATCGAAGTGGATGTCCTAGCACACCCTAAAATAGTTTAAGTTGTTTTAGTTTTTCTCAAGCACAGATTAGTGTCAAAATCATATGTCTTCTTTCTCAATGAATGTAAGAAGTTTCATTTTGTGAAATTTTTTTCCTAGATAAATTTATACATATTTGATAAATGCAAAACTAGAATATAATCCATCAAGTTTGGATTTACATTCTATCTCTCATCGATAAATCTTAAGGAGACTTTATTTGTATTTTCAAACATATTATTTGTATATAGAAATGTACAGAATCAGTTTTAGTTTCATTCTCGGTTCCAGTGATCAGAACCAGAACCACGAGAAAACAAGTTTTTCTAACCAAAACTAAAAATTATTGTTAAAATTTCTATGATTTTTAGTGTATTATTCTATCAATCACACCAATCAATGCAAAATTATGAGAGATGACCAAAAAAAAAAAAATGATATTCATCGACTGAATTAATCAAAATACGAGAGACTTGTTTCTGCATATCTCTATTTGTATAATAAATATCAAAGCTTGAAATTTTAATTCTAAAAAAATTTTACTGTTAAAACTGATCTATCAATAAATGCACTCACTAACAACTTTAACTGTCTCATATAGATCAAAAGAGTTTATTAATTTGAACATTTGATTTTTAGGAAAACTTAACATTTGAAAGGTTGGCTTTTTAGAGAGTTTTGATTGATCTAATTGTCAAACGACTAAAACAAAATGATTTAAATTGGATTCAAATTGTTCGCGGAAGAAATTTGCTTCTCTTTGAAATCTCATTTTATTGTGAACTAAATAATCGTTGAGTCGACAAAATCATAACAAAGAACTTTCCATCTATTAGGTTATAATTATATATTTAAGAGACATTTCAAGAAAATCCTTCGAAACGTGTATTATTTTATTTATTCGATCAGAAAAAAAAATTGTATCTCATATGAATACACAAATATGAAATAAAATCTAATTTTATATTGCAGAACCAAAAATGAAATTTACTGAACAACAAACTAGAGAATGGTATAATCGATTTATTTATGATCGAATAAAAGAAACAAATTCATTAATAGAATTATTCATTTTGTCATAGTTCGAAGACAAATTATTATCAGTTGTTATTATTATTATTTTACGTTAAAAAAAATTTATGCCTGTCATCGATGATTCAATCGTAATTCTACAGGAATTATGTTTAAAATACCAAATCTCTCTTTAAAAGATGCAAATATTTAAATGGAAAAAATTGATCGATCATCTGATTCATCATCACCCTTTTTTTTCTGACTGTCCATGTAGTCAATACATCAGAGTTAGAATTAGCGCACAATTTTTTGGAACCGAACCAATTCCATCTCTGCTAAACATTTCAAAGATCATGGAAATACTTACACAAAATGTTTGTCCAGTAGAAACTCCAGTACTAACTCGTGCCACAAAATTTAATTTTTCTAAAAGATAAACTTAGTTTCTATTCATATTATTCTTATTTCATTCAGATGTTACCCAATCTTTGAGTTATAAGAAAACCAAATTTTAATGCTCGTTCAGCATCTAAAAATCAAATTTATATATATGTTTTTTTTTCTTACTGATTAACGTTTGTTTTTTTTTTTTTTAAATAAAAAACAAACCATCTGGATGTTTATATCCAGGCATTCCAAAAGCACATAAAAGACTAAGACCTTTATCAAACATAAAAACTTTCGTTAATAAACCATTTGTTATTGAAATTTGTTCAGCACAACAATCAATAACTGTTTGTAATTTAAATGGTAACTGTTTAATTTTATAATCAGTTAAAATAATATTAATAAAACAAATATTAATAAGACGAAGTTCAGATAATTGATCAAGAGATTCTTGATTACGTACAGGTTTTATAATAAATGTACTTAAATCTAATATATCATATTCTTCAAAATTTAAAAAAGCACTTGGACGAAGTTTCATTGATTGTTCTTCAGTTAAATCAATTCTTCTAATCTATATTACCAGAGTATAATGAAATACAAGACAATAATGTTCAATTTTCAGATTTTTTTTTTACCAAATGTCCTTGTTTTCTATTTGGAGTTGATGAAACAGATAAAAAATCTTTTATATTTGTATCACCTATATCTAATTTAAAAGATGTTTTTGGTGTATTCTTTATATTGAAAATTTTTTTTCCAGGGCTATATTGATTGAATATTTTAGGTTTTTTTAATATTTCATTACTATCATTTGGTTCTATGGAATCAACAGACATAACTGAATAACTATCAGATGAATCATTATCTTTTGGAATATCATTTCGACGACCATGAAGTCGAATATCTTTAAAATCGAATTATTTGTTAGAAACGATTATTTCTTTGTTGAGATATTCTTACAATGAGAAAGTATTTTTCGTATAGGAACAGTTTCACGAATTTTATTGGGTGGTGTAAGACGTTTACTAATTGCTGTTGTAATTGTATTTGATGGGCCTTGACCGACCATTTCAATTTGATGATTTGAAGAACGTAATGGAATTTCAATATCTTCATCATCATGTTCAGCAGTAAATTTTTCATGAATATATTCCTGAAATTGATTTTTATTTTTGCAATTTACAATATTTATCAAAAACTTTTTGAATTATAAGAAATTCTTATTAAGAGATCGAATACGAAATTCTACATTCACTGGATCGAACTATATTAGAAAAATCAATCTACAGTACTGATTAAGAAAATACGATCAACGTATTTTCGATTTTTTTTGTACGATTGAAAAATTAATGAAATTCTCTATCAGATGTATCCCATACGAAAATTTTTATAGATCGGCTATGAGAGAAAGATTTCTTGAAGGTCGAACCCGGTTGTTTTAAAGTCTCAGAAGACTATGTGCAAATTAGTTTTCTAGAGTATCATTTTAAAGAGTATAAAATCTTGAATAAAATAAGAAGTCACTGCTATTCTTATGATCTTTCCTTAAAAAGTTATAAGCATTATAAAAAACAAAAAAATATGCGTTTTTACCAATGCTATGATAAATATTGTTTTGTGATGCTCATAACTTTTTTTGCGATAAAACCGTAGGAAATGCAGCAACCCCTCGTGTTATTCAGAATTTTGTGCTGTTTAAGTTGACACTTTTAAAAAAATCTAATTTTCACACAATCTTCTTGGACCTGAAAACTACCATGTTTGGTTTCTCAGAAACCTTCTTCTCATAGCCAATCTACGAAAATTCCGTATGGAGTGCATTTGCTAGACAACTTCATAGGCTACTTAATCACTAATGTAAATATTGGTGTAGCCAGAAGATATGGGGTGGTAAGACACTGCGCCACAACCCTGGGAAAAACTCATTCAATATAGTGTCACCGATGATAATGATTACGTTTTTCTTTCTTCTGAGGATACGGCAGCGCTGGTCTAGTCAACTACTGGTTACGCCTCTAAGTATAAATAAAAATTTTGATGAGTATATATTAGTTTTAATTATTTCAAAGCATGTACATTTGTTTTTTAATATTTTCATTCAAAGTAAAATTCAAAAGATAAAGAAATTCAAGATTTTCTTTTATAAATGATCTTTATTCTAATTGAAATTTTTTTTTTTTTTTTTCTTACTGAATCCGAATCAAGAAGTAGCCATGTAGCCATATCCACAATAATATCTTGAGATTTACATTCATCTAAATAAATAAATAAATAAATACCTTTAATAATTAAGTCAATGAAAATAATCATACGTTCAGCATTTCTAACACTAACAACAGCACTACCATAACAAACATAATAATTAACAAGATTATTTCGACAATGTTCGATCATTTCTTCAGTTAATCCTGTTTTAGTTATATAATTTGTCGATTGATATTTTCCAGAATTTATTTTTTTCGTAGTTTCAGAATAAGAATTTGTTTTTTTTATTGATGATTGTATTTTTAATCCATATTCATCAAGAAGTTTTGAACACATGGAAGTAGTTCCCTAGATACAAATCTTGTAAAAAAAAAAATTTAAAAACAAAAACAAAAACTAACACGAAGAAATATTATTGAATAAGAGCCCATTGCAATAGCACTTTTAATATTTAAAACAGTTCCAATTGATGTCACATAATCACAAAATGATTTTTTCATATATAAAGCACAAGATATAACTCTTTTTGCTTGTTCACGTTTATGTTCAATAGAATTATTTTCAAATGGCCATAAACCTAATCAAAAGTGTTGTTGTTGTTTTTTTTCAAGTATAAATTTTATGAAATATTTATTACCAAGTACAGCATCACCAGCAAATTTATAAACATCTCCTTTTTCTCTTAATATAGCTTCAACAATTGGTGCCATATAGCCATTAAGTGCATTAGCTAATTGATTAACTCCACGTTGAACATCACTACTATATTTTTGACACATTTCTGTAAAACCTGATACATCAGCAAAAAGTATAATACCATTAAATGTTTCTGCATATGGCATTTTTCGATCACGTTTACGTTGTAAAATAACATCAGGTAATTGATAAATAAATGAACAAGATTGATTCGATGGATGACATATATATTGACCATCTATTGATATTCTACTTTCATTATTATGTTTAATCATTATCGATTTTTAAATATAATAAATCGTATATATAAATAAATATTTTTGTCAAACAAACTAATTGATTATAAATATTACATATTGAATTAACGCGCTTTATTTTTTATTTAAAACTAAAATATAAAATAAACAAAATGAGTCCATTTCAATTTCGTTATTTAATTATATTGAACTCTTTTTTTTTTCTTTTTAGAAACTAATGATTGATATTTTCTTATCCTCTAAAGTTTTATCAATTTATAACCTGATTAACGTTCATGTTAGTCAGACGAATCCATAAATTCTATGACTCAGTTAAATCTTTTTTTTTCAACAATACTTGAATTTGTATCAAGAAATCTTGTACTAAATAGAAATATTCATAGAATAATAAACAAATAAATCATATTAATGCAATTGAATTTAATCTTACAAATAGAAATCTTTCACTTTTTTTTAGTTATTACAGTCATCATGAGCTTTAAAGATATCACTTTTTGACCTTAGCTTATTACAGAATTATATATTTGAATACTTAATTTTCATCTAAAGACATTCATTTAAACCTTAGTCAAGATTATGTTCATTGATTTATGCATATGTATATACGTTTATGAATTAGTTTATGTTATAGATTAAAATTGTTTTGTTTTTGATTAACACCGATTTCTTGTTGCTATTGGTTTTTTTTGCATAAATAGTTATTAGTAAATTCAACTGCATTAATTTAATTTATTTGTTTACTATTCTATTGTTCATATTCAAGGTTTTTCTTTTGGAATTATTCAAAAGATAATTTTTTTTTTCATTCTAATCTGATCCGAAAAGCATCGCAATGTACTCTACAAGAATTCGTATACTATCTTTACTATTATTATTGAATGAGTTCAAAAGAGAATAATGCCTCATACTTATTTTAAATAAGAATAGAATAGTTAAGTTTACAAACGTAAGATGAACGTCATTAAAAATAATGCTCCGGAAGAATCGACAATACAGTATATATAGAAAAAGATAGAGTTTACTGTAGGAATCACAGAATCATTTGAGAGACCAGATATATAATACTATGAAATATCAGTATCTCAAGGTAGATTTGCAGAGATAAAAATGACACCATATGAGAGGTCTTAGTTAGAAGAAATCTAAAAATTTCAAGTATCTCTTAAGTTTGTATACTGCTTGTTAAAAACCGTAAATTGACATTTCTGATCCGAATAGAGAAAAAATTGATATAGCTTGACAGTCTTAACTATTATTGAACAATCGCAATTATTAACAGAGGGGAGAGAGGGCGGGGAATGAGAAAATTATTATTGGAATCATAAAAAAAGTAGAACATAGCGCTTTACTTTAAGTATTAAAATTTGCCACATATGAGGTTCTTTACTGGTATACATGAGGGAATTGTAACATTATTGTACCGGTTTGGAGAAAAAAAACGAGCGTAAAAAAAAAACACTTTCAACTTGAAAGATGATAAATAGTACGTTTTACTGTACTATACGAGACAAGAAAACGAGTCAATTTTTTCTTCTACCACTATTAATATGGCCTCCAGATATGACAATTATTCAAAACTCGTAAAAATGCCTGAATACAGATTTTCCACATGTATGTCAAAGAACTGCAGAAATACGAAAGGTATGCAAAATTCATTAAAAATACTTGAAAGTATGAGTGAAAAGAATTTTATTTACGCGTGCATTGATATACGATTAAGATTTAAAGTTAAATAAGTCTCAACTACATGAAACTAATAGTGTGTTTTATGTTTGATATTCATGATGTGGCGTCATCGTCACAAAATGAATTCCATAAAACACAGTTTAAAATCAACTCACAATCATTTTCATAGTACTTAAGATAAGAACTGAAATAAATCATAATATATCTATATTGACCTGAATTGTGAAGTTTTATGCACGTTATAATCTCGTAAGACGCGTTTCTTGTAAAAAATCTTATATAACATATTAACACTATTTTTTCTTTTTCTCATGAATCAACACTTTTCTAATGCTAATACTGCCAATGGTGATTAATCACAATGAATAGATAAAATGATCAAAGTTTTATCTTAAAATGTAATACTCTGAGACAGTTATAAATCAAGCAAAATGAAAAATTTCACGTGACATATTATAGCATGTCAATCAAATTTTCAAGTTTTATTTTATAGTTTTGATAAACAAGAAACACTCAAAATTTTTTCTTCTTTTTTTTTAACATATTTATTTCTTATTCACTGCCTTTCATTCAACAGTACGTCCATCGTTTTTAGATGGATTGTTTAATGTCATATTTATTTTAAAACTCACGTGACAGAAAATCGAACAGCGTCTGTACACCTATAATTCAGACAAAAGATATAGAAAAAAAAATGTGATTAGAACATCAATCAATTTTGTATTTAAAAAGTGCAGACTATTTTCTCTAATTTTGGCAACTTTATGAGAAAAGAAGAAATTGGTTATACAAGATATTGAACGTTTTTATATTAGAATGTAATGGTACAATAAACTTGCAATGCACTCATATATAGACAATTTCATTCGTTCGTGATGTGATTTCGCAAATACTAGTACATGTATTTCTAAACTCTGAAATTCTTTGCAGTTAATTTTTATTAAACAGATCTATGTTGAGTTACTTTAAATACCTTTCAAAACTCAATCCTATAGATCTCTGTTCCATCGAGTTATTATTAAAAAATTAGCACTAGCGATGTGACAAAAAAAACACAAAGGTTCTTACTACGCACGTTTCTATTTAAAAATAATGCAAGTTCAAAAAGTAGTTTTGAAACCTAAACAGTACGTTTTGTAGAGAACACTTCAGATTACCAAAAATTTTTGCGCAAAATTTTTGAAAAATTTAAGTTTATTCGTTGTTAGCGACATGAGTGAGTACGAATCTAGAAACGAAAAATCCTCTTGTAACTCAATACGAAATTCAAAAACCAATCCTAACCAATACAAATCCTTGTTGGAAACTTGTGTGTCATAAAGTTAGATAGTTATTTGTTAATTAATTTTTAATTAACTCATTGATGGGCTAAATAAGTTTGATAAAGAGCCATTAGTTTTACATATATTTGCGGAAAACAGAACTTGTTAAAAAAAAATAACTCTTATGAAGCGTTAAAATCAAATTGACGATGGTCATGCTTCGTTTCCCATAATTTTGCCCATATATATTCAAATAGAGAGAATTTTTTGCTTTTTTAACGCTTGTCCTTTGATTATTTCTTTGTCAAATATCAACAACATTTTTTACAAAGGAAACCAGCAATTAGAAACAAAAGAAATTTAATTACAAAAAAATAAAAATAAAACAATATCAATAATAACTTTTTATAACATGCGACGATGTCTTTTTGTATTTTGAAAAATAAAATGTTTTCAATGAAATAATCGATCATTTGCATCAGTATAAGTATAAGAAAATAAATCATGTTCATATTCAATTAATTGATGAAGAAAACCTATATTTGGACAAACAATTGGTCTTCGATGTCTTAAAAATTTATATGCTTCATATAATGTTGAATTATATGTTTTCATTAGATAAGCAAGAATCAATGTTGATGATCTTGATATACCTAAATTACAATGAACAAGTATACGATTTGTTGGATTTTGAAAAGCGATATTCATAAAATGTATTGTTTCATCAAAACGATCTTTTAATAGAACATCTTCTTTATCTTCTAATTCAATATGTAAATATTTAATTTTATCAGCAAATACACATTGATGTTCAACCGATATATTTATTATATGTGTTAATTTAAGATCACGTACAACTTTCCAATTTGTTGCTTGATGACCAGTTCCTTTAAAAAGATACAAAAACAAAAACAAGTTAGTCTTATTTGAAAAACAAAAAATACAAAAATTTTTAATTATATTTTACCAAGATAAAGTTGATTATCAAGAACAACAGATGGATAAATTGTTAGAAATTTTTCTCGATCAACTGTTGAACGTATATCTGCTTGATTACAAACAAATGGAAATAATATACGAAATGCTTCAAAACCACCAGCTAATAATATACATGATTTTGAACCATGCGGTGAAAAACGATTACTAACACGACGCATTTCTGCTGTTGTATTAAAGAAAACACCTTTTTCATCATATAATACTATTTCACTAAATCTTTCGACTACAGATATATAAACACTACCATTTAATGCATCTTCCCAATGGATAGCTAAAAAAATTATTGTACATTATTATTAATCATATTGAAAGAATTTTACATATGTTATTGTTTTGTTTTTTTAAGATAAATTACCTTGAAAGTTATAATTGCTTTTAAGAAGAAAAAAAATATGTAAAAGAAAACAAAAGTTACGTTAGAGTATTATTTCATTTTACATTTTGATTTTAAGGAACTAACAAATATTCTTGTTATACAACTTTATTCTGCATATTCTTAATGGGTTTCCGAAGCCACCAATTTACATATTCTTTTTTTTTTGGCTTTGTCACTTTAACTCGATTTTAATGCAATGCATACAAACGTCATTTGAAGATGACCAATTGATGTTTGGTGCAAATATGTGACCTTGTAATATTTACTATTTGAGTTTTGAAGGAAAAAAAAACCATATTTAGGTATATTCTCTCTAAAATATTCATCATAGTATTCATTTTTTTGATATTCTAATTATCATTGTTTAGAAAAAAAACCTAACTTCGTCAATCAACTTTTCCTCTATTAAACTGTACAAAGATGTAAACAGAAAATTAACAATGTCAAGCATAAAAAAGAAAAAAATGAACTTAACAACGATGTTTGAATGTAACTACTTTTTACAAGATTGACATTTTATTCTGATGTATTCGTAATGTGGTAAACAAGACATGAAGAAACTATTGTATTACTTTTAGACAAACAAATGATGAAAAGTTTTTTTATTGTATAAAATAAAAGTCATGACTCATGATGTATATACTCTATTTGCTAGAACACTTGACCTATTTCTATCCAATAATTTTCAAAAAAGA